TGAGTGTGATGTATCAGGAATAGGGATTGGAGCAGTTTTAATGCAGGATCGGAGGCCTATTGCATACTTTAGTGAGAAATTGAGTGGAGCTGCTTTAAATTATCCTACATATGACAAAGAAATTTATGCACTTGTTCGAGCTTTGGAGATTTGGCAACATTATCTATGACCGAAGGAGTTCGTAATACACACCAATCATGAGTCACTAAAGCACTTGCGGGGACAAGGTAAATTGAACAAGAGGCATGCACGGTGGATGGAATTCATTGAGACCTTTCCATACATCATTCGGTATAAACAAGGTAAGGAAAATGTGGTAGCGGATGCACTGTCACGAAGATACGTATTGCTAACTACTCTTGATTTTAAGCTACTTGGGTTTGCACATATTAAAGAATTGTATGAAAAGGATGTTGAATTTTTGGATATTTATTTGTCATGCATAAAAGGGGCGGTTGATAGGTTCTTTAGGCATGAGGGGTTTTTATTTCGGGAAAATAGATTATGTGTTCTTAATTGTTCTATTCGGGAGTTGTCAGTAAGGAAGGCACATAGTGGTGGATTGATGGGACACTTTGGGGTTCAAAAGACTTTAGATGTATTGAAGGAGCATTTTTACTGGCCTAAGATGAAAGGTGATGTCAAGCGAATTTGTAGTCGATGCATAGGTTGTAAAAGGGCTAAGTCTAAGGTTTTACCTTAAGGTTTGTACACATCTTTACCTACACCCAGTGAGCCTTAGATTGATATCTCAATGGATTTTGTTTTGGGTTTACCTAGAACTAAGAGAGGTCGGGATTCTATTTTTACGGTTGTAGATAGGTTTAGCAAAATGGCACGAACATTGCCGACTTATTCTTTAAAGAGATTGTGTGTTTACATGGGGTTACTAGAAGCATAGTGTCGGATCGGGATGTCAAATTTTTGAGTCACTTTTGGAGAGTTTTGTGGGGGTAAGTTAGGCACTAAGTTACTATTTTCCATAACTTATCACCCACAAACGGATGGGAAAACCGAGGTAGTGAATAGGACTATGACACAATTGTTACACACAGTAATCAAAAAAAATTTGAAGAGTTGGGAGGAGTGTCTACCATTTGTTGAATTTGTATACAATTGAGTTGTTCACTCTACTACATCATATTTTCCAATTGAAATTGTATATGGTTTTAATCCACTAACTCCTTTAGATTTAATTCCTTTACCTGTGAATGAACGTGGTAGTTTAGATGGTAAAAAGAAGGCGGAATTGGAAAAGTCACTCCATGAAAAGGTAAAAGCGCAAATTGAAAATAAAAGTAAGTTGGTTGCATAATAGGCGAACAAAGGTAGGAAGCGTGTGACATTCGAGCCAGGAGATTAGGTTTGGGCGCACCTTAGGAAGGAGTGGTTTCCGAAGCAAAGGAAGTCCAAGTTGCAACCGAGGGGCGATGGTCTATTTCAAGTTATCGAAAAGATAAACGATAATGCATACAAGTTGGACCTTCTAGGTGAGTATAATGTTTTTGCTACTTTTAATGTATCTAATCTCTCTCTGTTTGATGCAAGTTCAGATTCGAGGATGAATCCTTTTAAAGAGGGAGGGGATGATATGATCCAGGACTCAAGCCCGATGAAGGCGAGTGCAAGATGAGATCCGTTGATAGTCGATGACGGACCAATAACGGGATCAAGGGCAAAGCAAGTGAAACAAGCGATGGGATTGCTCGTTCAAGAAACCATTGATGGAACCATGTTCGGGACTCAAAATGGAGCAACTTTCATGCTCGGATCGAAGGCCGAATCAATTTGGATCAATTTGTTATCAAGTGACGAAACCGAAGGCTAAAAACAAGCTTGTGCGACTGCACAGCTAAAACACCATGTGACTGCATGGAAGCATACCAAAACTCAAGATGGATTTTTGGTTGAACTATGCGACCACATGAAAATACACCATGCGGTCGCATGGACCATTTTTTTGGCGAATTTCCTAATTTTGGCAATTTTCCATATTTTGTTCGTTTTTTGATTCTTTCCATATTTTGAGGATTACGATCGACTTTTGCACGATTTTTACCTAGTTTTTAGGTTAAGTATAAATAGGAGTTTCCATTCAATTGTTAAAGACTTTTGACATTATTGATATTAAATTAAAGTGAGGCGTATTATCTTCTCTTCATCGTTCTTCATTGAACAATTTCAAACTTATCAAGTGTTAACTTGTGGCATTCAAACAACCAGATTTAATTCTTGGATTGCGTGATCAAGGGGTCTTTCAAGAGTCGTTCTTGTTGGGTTTTTTGGTTCGACTTTCTTTGGGGTTAATCCTAAACTTTGGATTAATTTGACTTTCTTGGGTTCGTCAATTTCATTGTGGGTTTCGTATTAAACGTTGCTACAGGGTTCGCATTAGAACTCCTAGCAAGCAACTAATTAATTACCTTTGCAAGACATTGACTACAAGTGATACTAGAAACATGGAAGCTTCTCTGTCCTCCGTCGTACTGCAAAAGAATTTCTTCCTCATTTGATAATAGTAGTCCCATAATATAATCATTTTGCCTCATGTGTATAGTGATGCTTATCTAATCTTTCCAATTTGATGCCTCAAGATTTCTCAAAAACACCAACTGTACAAGAACTCATTGGGATGGATCTTCATGGTGGTACGATGATTGTGATCCTATATATAGAGATGATCAATCATACATGATGGATAATGTATTGAATTACCATCCTAATAAAGCTACAAAGATGGGAATCTTCCCAATTTGATGCCTCAAGATTTCTCACAAACACCACCTGTACAAGAACTCACTGGGAGGGATCTTCGTGATGGTACAATGATGGTGATCCTATATATAGAGATGATCAATCATACATGATGGATAATGTATTGAATTACCATCCCGAAAAAGCTACAAAGATGGGAGATCAATTAAAGTATATCTTGGTATGTTTATTTGTTCTTCATTAATAGGTTAAATATCTTTTACCATATATCTTTATGGTATTTCATAAAATGAAATCTCTAATTTATAGTCTTCTCAAGCATGATAAGCTTTCAACGTTAAGATTTTTTTTCATCAGAATAGATGAACAAAAATTGTGCTCATAAAGCATTTCAAATGAAAAATTTATCCTAAATCTATTTTAAAACGTTATTTGATTTATTGTACGCAGTAACATATTCACACTTATAAACATGTGCTTTTCGTGGCTATATTGTTTGAGTGGTAAGCAAAAACTTGCACCAAATTAATCTGTTATTTATTTTAAACAAATTGTCACACACACACACACACACACACACACACACACACACACACACATATATATATATTTTATCGGTTAATGTAAAAATTCATTGATCAAAATTTCAATACAAGTACTCCGGGCATTCTCGAGCTTACATTATTCAACAATGCACATCTTGAGTATCAATCTATATGCCCAGTACTAAAGATTCATAATGATGCAAAACATAGGGATACAAAGTAAACATGACATTGTAGACATGTGTTTTAATGAGTCTGATGATGCTATCTGGTTGCTGCCTGAGATCTTCGAAGATTAGCCTATTTTTAGCTGTCCAGATATGATAAACAGTGCGTGCGAGTGCTACTTTCTTAGCTTTAGATTGCCAAAATGTTCCTTGTCCCTCATTCTCGATCCATTTTAGAGCACTCGATAATGTAGTCATGGCTTTAGTGATTCCGAGCTATGTTTTGACTTGTCCCCAAATTTCTTTGCTCATCCGGCGTTGGAAGAAAAGATGCTGGACTGATTCTATTGCAGCTTGACAAAATATGCATCTGTGGTCGATCTCCATGTGTTGTAATCGGTCTTTGGTAAAGAGCTTGGCTTTCGCACTAAGCCAAAGTATGAAAAAATGTTTAGGGGTGATGCATGAACTCCAAATAGTCTTTGCCCAAATAGTTGGCGTCCCCTTCGGTCAAAAATAATTATAAGCTTCAGCAATGCATATATTGCATCCTTGAATCCAACTTGAAATTCTTTGGCAGGTAGCATGGATTGATCCTTCAGCTTCTTTCATGCGTAGTGCAATGGACAGTATCCTTTTAAAAAGTGCTGAGTCATCCTTTTTGGGTGACCTTTCCCATATTGATGTCCTTCCCAAGTACACGTGATTAATCCATCGTACCCAAAGTGTGTCCTTTTTGGCATGCACATTCCACAACGACTTGGCTAATAGTGCATTATTCCAGCATTTTATATCTCGAAATCCAAGTCAACCCTAACTTTTGGGGAGGCAAACTTCAGACCAAGCAACAAGCGATTTTTTGGAATTCCAAAGGAAATTCCTACAAAGTCGTGTGATCCTCATAGTGACTGCAGCGGGTATTGGGAATATAGATAACCAGAAGCATTCAACACCTTGTGAGACTGATCTTATTAGTTCAGCCCTGCCATCATAAGATAATGATGAGCTTGTTCGGGCATGTATATATGCAGCTATCTTATCAAAGAAAGGGGCGTAGTGGATGACTTTCAATTTTCTTGCAGCTAAAATATCTGAATGGCATGGAACCCCTCGGCATGTTTACCAATTCTTGGACGTCATCCAATTTTTGGCCCTGAATTCCGGCTGTGAAAATGTTGGATTTACTTGTATTCATCTTTAGTCTCGAGCAGTCTCCAAACTTGGATAAACAATTAATCAGTATACGCACTGATATAATGTCGTCCCTCGAGAACAACATCAGGTCATCCGCCAATGCTAGATGTGTGATTTTCAATGGCCCACACTTTGGATGATAGTTAAACTCGATGTTGTCGATATTGGCTTTCAAGTTTTTTGAAAGATATTTAAGACAGATCACAAATAAGAAAGGTGATAAGGGATCACCTTGCCGTAGGCCTCTTTTACCTTTGAAGAATCCGTGCATGCTTCCATTAATTGATATAAAAAAAGAGGGAGTTGAAATGCATGTCATCACCCATTGTTTAAATCTGTTCGAAAATCCAAGTCCCTCTAAAACAGATTTCAGAAATTCCTAATAGATGGAGTCATATGCTTTTCTGAGATCAATTTTGAGCAGACATCTAGGCGATACTCTCTTCCGATTGTATTGCTTTAATGGTTCCAGTGTAAGATGGACATTCTCGACTAAGCTTCTCTCTTTCACAAAAGCTGCCTGGGCATTGTCAATGATGGAACCAAGGATAGGAGCCAATCTGTTGGATAAGATTTTGGTGATGGTCTTATAGACCACATTGCAACACGAAATAGGTCTCTAATCCCCAACTGTGGATGCATGACTTTCTTTTGGGATCAAGGCAATGACAGTGTCATTAATCTACCTGAGGAGTGAGCCAGTATCAAAGAATTCTATGATAGCATTAACAAAATCACCTTCGATCGTTTCCCAAGCTTTCTTGAAAAAACAAGAACTGTATCCATCTGGTCCAGGCGATTTCTCATCTCCTATGTTAGACAAAGCTTCCTTTATCTCTTGTGGAGAGATATCCTTAATGAGGGAATTTGCCTGCTCCGGAGAAAGTGATGGCCCTTCACGTAAAATGTTTAGATCAATGGGATCACATGCATGATTTGTTTCCTAGAAAGTTTTGGTAGTAGCCTATAAATTCAGCTTCCACCTTTGCTAAGGAGCTCGTGGAAGTCCCATCATCTTTCATTACAGCTGCAATGAAGTTTTTCTTCACATTCCTTTTAACTAAAGAGTGGAAGAACTTTGTGCATTTATCATTCTTGCTCAAATAAGCACATTTGGCATGTTGATAATAGAAGCTTCTCTCTGCATCATATAAACCCACGGCTTGCTTTCGTAAGAGTGCAACTTTACTTTGCAGCTCAATGTTTGTCGGTAGATCATGTAGCTCCATTTGTGCTGCCTTTAAGTCATGTCTAGCTTTATCAGCGTGAGCAGAAATGTGAGTAAAGAGTTTGTAGTTGAGTTGCTTCAGATTTTCCTTAAGCCTCTGTAACGTTTTGCATAGATTGTATTGCTTCGTCCCATGGATTGGTTGATTCCAACTGGAAGAAACAACACTCTGAAAATCTGAGTGATCCATCCACATGTTGAAGAATTTGAAATGTTTACCTCTACCTTCTCCTTGTTGGAAGAGTGATACAATGCATGGTGAGTGGTCTGAAAGGTACCCTGCTGGTTGGAAATTTGCTAAGGCATATATACCCTCTTGTTGCCACAGTTCATTAACCATAGCTTTATCGAGCTTACTTTAGAATTTTTTGTCCAGGTGTAAAAGCATCCAATGGATCGCAAGTTTGTAAGACCTGCAGTTAAACAACAATCTACAAAGTCCCTAGTCTCATATGGAGTCACTTTCGCTCCATTACATTTTTCCTCGGGTAAAAGTATACTGTTGAAATCCCCCAAGACTAGCCAAGGTATCGTACATGTAGCTCCAAAATTAATCAAATTATTCCATAATGGTCTCCTAGTAACAATAGAATGGAAACCATATACAAAGCTCAAACGAAATACAATAGAAGTTACCTTGCAGGTGACTTCGCAGTGTATAACCTGTGGGGCAGATTCCAAGATGCACAGGTTAACTTTTGTTTGATCCCATAGGATCAACATCCTTCCTGCCGGATGTGATGGAAAGTTTTCAGCATGACTCCATCCACAAAATTTATTCCTCAGTATTCGAGCTAAATTTTGGTGGTTGATTTTCGTCTCTAGATCACCAATAATATCAATGCATTCCTGCGTATGAGGTGACGGACCCCATTTTGTTTTAGGGGCATATTGAAGCCCCTAATGTTCCATGATGCAATCTTCATGTTGATATAAAGAGGGCATTCCCCCTCTTTTTATCTTTCTTCAGTTGTTTGGCAGCTTGTCCAATAAGAGTTCCTTTGAGCTTATCATTACTTACTGTCTTCGTTTTTGGGACTTCAAGATTTACATTCGTGCCATGTAGGGAAGGTGATACTCCTTCCGTGCTTGAATTTTGTACTTGCAATCTGCTTTAGTATCGGACCTTTGACTGGATTCACAGGTTGATTCTTCCTACCCACTTCAATGAAAGGGGTATCATCCTCATGTTGATTAACTTGAGCACATATTTCTGCAATAGTGTTTGCTTGACCAGATTCTGCCCCTGATTTGGTTACTTCCAGAAATTTAGCAGCGTTCTGATCATCTGCAACTGATTGAGTCGATTCCCAGCACTGTTCAGTTCTACTGTTGTGTTTGGGATTGCAACATTATTCTGCTCGTCTATAGTGACTTGGGTCGAACCCCCAGCAATATTCTTGTGTGTTCCTGTTGTCTTTGCAACATACTTAGGGGCCATATGTCTGTGGCCAGCAGTTCCAGCTTTCGGATTGCATGTATCTTATTTGTGCCCAAAAGTCTTGTAAGTGGAACAGAATTTTGCCTCGTGCTCGTAATGAACCACTTGTTCCCTCAACTCACCATTCAAAAGCTTCATCTTCACCGAGCGGACCAGGTCCTTTGATGCATCGACCTCAACTAAGATTCTTGCAAAAGATAATCTGCCCTTTGTAGTTTTTAGCAGATCAGTTGTGACAGGTTTTCCGATCTTTGTTGCAATCATGCTTAGTGCGTTGGGCATCCAAAAATTCAATGGCAGCCCAGGTAACGTCATCCATACCGGCATAGTACTTATATCATGATCATCAAACTCAAAAAACGATGGGACATGTTTCAACACCAGTGGTCTCCCATAGACAAAGTAAGGCCTTCCTTCTATTACCTGTGCTCTATCATCAGTATTCTCAAACTTGAACACGAGCCATCCACTTTGATGGACAAAGTATTAATACTTAATGCCCCATTGATCACACATCTTCAAGAGGGCTATTTTACCAGGAAAACGTTCAGCAAAATACCCAACAAGACAGTAACCCCAAGCAGTGTGATCATCTTCAATATCAGATTCCTCAAAAACCAAAATTTCTGGCAGGTTTTCGCATGTTTTAAGCTTAAAACCATTCTCACGCTTACGGTTTTCCTTGAACAAACTGGCCCATGGTGCCTTTGTGGATTCATATTCCTTACCTTGGGCAGAAGTGTTGTTTTTTTTTTGCTGCAGTAGATCCATCACCCGAATCGGTATTCACATACTCAAGATTGAGATGGTTTTCTTTATTTGATGTACCCTCATTATATATATATATACACACACTAATATTTTGAAGAACATAGTACTTTTCATTCAAATGCCTCCCTCATTTTCCCTCGTGTTTTTCTGTTTTTGAAATACTTTCCTACTTGTTATGTTTGCATTTTTTTTTTCATTTGTTTTTCTTATTATTTTTAGCTACTTGTTTTAAGCTAATTTCAGTATTTGATTTGACAGGTTAAAGATGTGGTTTTACTTATGCTTTAGAGGATGAACATATTACCGTAGATTGTTTTGAAAGGGTAAGATCTTTCTTGATAGAAGTAATTTTCTTTTCCATTTCTTATCAAGATCCTACCCTTGATAATTTGAAGATGGAGGGAATAAGTTGGCAAAGGGCGTCTATTAAGCTTTCGACAAGTTTTCTTTAATATTCTTTCACAATTAGGTGACTGACCTTCTTTTACAAATTTTAGATGTTAAACAAGTTGGCTTTATTTGTTTGTATTCTACGCACATGTCTCTCAATCCTTAACATTCGACACGTTAACAACTCTGAGGGATAGTTCAATGGTCAGGCCTTACGTTTGCTCCCCAATGGTCACTAGTTCGACGGGGCTGGGTGGAGTCATACCCCGTTTGTTTTTTTTCCTTCTCCCTCAAATTCACAATTTGAAAATGCCAACATCCAAATTAAATACTTGAAACAAACAATATCCGAAAATAAACAATTACAATTACATTGTAACTAAATTTCACATCTTTATCCAAAAATAAATTTGATATTTTTCCATCTTTATAACTTCATTCATCGGTAGGTTCAGAGATTGTAGAAGATGGATCCTGAAAAACGAAAGAAATATTATACTCAATATCATCATAATAACTGTGATTAAAATTTAAATTATGTGATAAATAAAATTACCTCCTCATCATTCATCTGGGAGCAACTTCTAAAATATGCAGACGGCGCAGAATTCGCTATTAATAAAATAAAATAATTAGTAATAAGAAAATTCATAAAATAAACAATATAAAAAGCAAATATTTATATACATCGTACCGTGAATATCGGCCCATAACCAATCTTAAGCACACATTAAAGCCTCCAAAGTTTTGGGGTGAAGTCTATTTCTATGTGGACTAACAAATCTACCACTAGTACTGAAAGCAGATTTGGATGCCACAGTAGATACGGAGATGGCCAAAATATCTTTTGCAATTCGAGATAGAGTCGGATATTTGATTGAATTCACTTTCCACCATGTCAATATATCAAAATCATCCGTCCGAGGCAATATAAGCTTATACAAAAAAGTATCAATCTCAGTTTTCACACTACTAGGAGCTTCAACATTAGAAACAAATTTATAAAAATTCGCCATGCGATTTGATTTATTATTAGCACTTGATGTCTCAGTTTGACAAGAAGAAGTAGAAGACTGAGCTACAGACCCACTTGAATCATTCTTTTTCTGATAATCGTACACCAACTTGCCACAAACTTGATATATTTTGTCAATCTCACTTGCAGCATTGTGATTAAAAATACGAGGATAATAATAAAACTTAACTAACATCATCTTATACCTCGGATCCAACACTGCTGCTAAAGCCAAAACTCCATAAATATCGCTCCAATACTTATTAAACTTTTTCATCATACTGGTTGCCATCATTTGAACTTCCACATAAGGAGATTCAAGCCACTCATACAACGATAGTTTGATATCACAAATATTTGCAAAGAAGAGATTAGCAGTTGGATACTTTGTTCCTGAAAACAATTCAGTAACCTAAAAAAAAAATCTTTAACTTCTCACATATTTCTTTTGCTAAATCCCAATCACCATCACTAGGGAAACATTTATATCATGACTCTCTCTATTTCAAATGCAAAGAAACATCCTTATAAATCAAAGCAGTACTAAGTATCAAATACGTCAAATTCCACCTTGTTTTACAATCAAGCACCAATTTTTTCTCACAATCAATTTTCAATTGACGTCCAAAGAGCTCAAATTTTTCAAATCTCTTTGGCGTGGCTGTTCAATAAGCAACACTATCACGAATTTTCTCAATACTACCACTAATAATGTCCAACCCATCATTCACAATAAGATTTAATATATGTGCACAATACCTCATATGAAAAAATTCACCATTCAATACAAGAGAACGAGTACAAAGTTGACTTAACACAATACTGATCATTGCATTATTTGTGGTGCAATTATCTACGATCAAAGTTAATAACTTACGATCAATATTCCAATCCATCAAGGTGCTCAATAGAGTTTCTGAAAGCACATCAGCAATGTGTGGGCACGGTACCTATATAAACCTGAGTTCATTCAAGAACTAATTAAATCAACTAAAAGAATATCATGATTATGAGTACCTCGTGATTCAACTCTGTAGTTTCCATGCATCATCTATGAAATGAGCAGTGATAACCATGAATCCTCTCTTTTGATTAGAAGAGGTCCACATGTCGGTAGTAATCGAAATTCGACTCTTGATCTGCTTAAGTGCAATCATATTTTTGGCTCTCTCGTATTCATGGATTTTCAAAATGTCGCTTTTCAAAGTGTTGCGAGAAGGAACCTTAAACAATGGTTGTAGGTCGTGCAAGAACTCTCGAAAGCCAATGTGATCAACCATAGACAAAGGATACTCATGCAAAATTACCATTTTCGAAAGACTATATCTACATTTATCCGGATCGAAAGAGTAAGTACTCATTATGACCTTGCCAGTCGTGGCATCCTTTTTTAAATTTAATGTTGCTTGGTGAGTATTATCCTTATAACGGAATACACATCTCTTCAAATGATCATGCAAATGCTTTGTACCACTTTTTGTTTCACACCCTAACTGTTTATTGCAATGATTGCATATAGCCTTCTATTTCTCGCCAATTTTCTGTCTTTTGTAGTGCTCCCACATAGTTGAAGTCAATTTCCTCTTTCCAAATGATATTTCTCGAATATCACTCTCCTTGTCATTTAGATTTATTGTCCTTTCATCCGCATTTGGTAACAGTTCAACTGGATTTGCTCTCCGGTACATCGATCGTGCTATCTTCCTCGTGTATTGGTCCTAATCCATTATTTCCAGCACTACTTGGGCTAGACATCTGTGCAAATAACAAATGACATTAAACACAACGAATTTTCTACTTTGACATGAAAATCATATTATGTCTCCATAATCATGTGTTTTTGAAAATTTTCCAGTTTCTGTCATGTTCTTACAAGTTCTTAACTTCTCGATAATCTTGTTCAATAAATTAAATTTTTAATTGAACAAGATTATCGATAATCATGTAAACCAGCATACTAATTCAATAAATAATAAAAGGGGGATTATTAAAACAACTTCAATATTTGCAGTGTGCCAAAAATTCATTTTTTTCTTCAATAGTCTTGATTCTAATTCTACCAAAAGCTTCAAACAATCTCTCTAATTCAATGAAATAATTTGGTGCTTTTATAATAATCACAACCTTCATGAATAACAAATGAGCCTGCTTAGCTGCTAAGTTTTGATCATAGGTATATTTAAAGACAGTCTTTATAGACAGTACACTGTCCAAAGACACAACTATCAGTTATCAAAGAATGCAACATAGAGAAGTTCAAATGATTGTCAAACTATTTATTTTACAGGGAGAAGTAGAATATGATATACATCACAACTATAGGATAAGAAAAATGGGGTTCTCTCCGGGGGGAAAACTTAATGAAGGAGACCTATTGTTTCTCTAAAGACCTCATGTCCCTCCCACTTTTCCCTGACATTTTCTCCCTAAGGTCTAACGGAACCCAAAAATTCCTACCATTTACCCAATGTATAAGATAATCAAATTGTCAATTTGAAGTTATTCCTACAACATTAAATAACCTCCGGCACACGATAGAATTTGAACTCAAGTAAATCAACTTTGTAAGTGAATTTAGATTGTGATTTTGACCAATTAAGTGTTCGGTGTAACTGAGAGCTCCTACAACCATTTGAACATTAGCACCAGATCAACCACAGCACAATAAGCAATCAAAGATATCTCATTAGTCAGTCACTAAGACAGAAAGTTTTAAAAGTGACGAGAATCAATATTGATCTATTTACATAACATTTTTATCAATTTTCACCAATTGTTAGTGGCCTATGCAATCTCAGAATAGCCAGCCCACAAGCGTCTGCAGCTACATTGAGCTAGCATATCAAGCATTTGATTAAAAAATGAATTGGAACTATATATCAAACGTTTAGATTCTCCATCTTCAATAGGAAATCTATTGCAGAGAAAAAATAAATTCCAGAAACTAAATCCGAAAATTAATTAATTCCAAGCATTCTATAGCTCTAGTTAATCCCACTAAAATTTATTAAAAAAACAAAAGCAAAAACAAAATAATTACTCATCAAAAATAAAAAAATATGCAATGGAAATGATTATAAGTTTGCTTAAGTAGCGGAGAGGAAATGGATAAAAATTCGTGCGCTTTCGCAGAAGCCCTGAAGAGACTTCCGGAGAACAATGACTTCGGAATCCTTAGAGAGCTGTGTTCGTTGTAATAGCTTATCCTTCACTAGCCGACGCATGATAGTCTTTGGTAGTTTATCGGCTTCCGATCGATACACTGGACTGGGCAACCGCACCCCATCGACCCATCGAGGCGGGTTTTTTCTGCCACGTTCAGGACGGGACGGGACAATTTGTCATCACTACGTTTACATTACACAATTGGTGCATGGCACGGTCAGAGGCCTAATAATATGAAAGGAATCTAAAGTTAAAGAAACACGTGGAATATTATAAGCGCAACCAAGAAATTCAATTCAACCCCAAAAGGAACAGGACAAATCAAATATAACTCCTAGAACACGATTTGTACGGTGAAATTGAATTTTAACTGGTATTCGGCAGCTGATCGATCGATAAAGGATGTCAATAACTACTATGACGATGAATTCCCCGTTTTGTTATTCTCATTCATACAGTTCTGGTCTTCACCAAACCCTGGAAACCTCTTGCTCTCCTTCCTCTTCTATCGCTTTATTAAATGTTACTCCTCGCAAGGTCAGTTTCTATTCATATTTTTTTCCTTGAATTCTTTTTTTTTGTGTGTGATTTTAGTTGTTCAAGAGCTGAGGAATTATGTAATTATGAGAATAGTGATAATTAATTTTATTTTTTTAGATTTTGAGCTTTTTGGGGAATCCAATTTCGGTATTCAGGTTCGACAATCAGGTGCGTAGGGCGTCCCTCCGTTACCAGGGGATTCGTTTTCCCAATTGTAATAGGCAGACAGGTGGGCTTTTGTATTGTGGCGAGGTCATGTTAAGTTTTTATTACTTGAACTCTTTGTGGTTATTTATTAATCAATTGTGAAAAATTATTAGACTACTGCTAGCCAATTTTTATGGGCTTTTTACTCATTGATAGGCTTTTCTCTCCAAATCGAAAGTTTTCTTAACAATTGAGTAGTGGTTGATCTCATTTTCTGAAAATGTGGAAAGAAAATGTGCAGAAGTCTTTTTTTTTTTTTTTTTCTTTTTTTTAAATTTTTAAATGACCGTCCAAGCCAACTTACATATACCTCGACTAATTCAAAGAGCCCTGAAGTTTATAGTCGGGTACTCACCTCAGTAGCCCAAAGTAACTTGAACTGGTAACCATTGGGGAGCAAGAAGTCTTAGCTCTACCAAGATTGATTTTCAAATTTCCTTACTGTTGATTGAAACCGATGTGTTATTTACTGATTCCATAGTTTTATGTTATTTGGAAAATGACTAGTATAGCCCCACAAATTGAGTTGTCAGGAAAGAAATAATGTTGAAAGGATAGAATAATTGATGTCACTCTCTCTCTGAAGAAAGTAGATATGAACTGAATTTATATATGATGAACTCATTGCATCATAAAATGTTTCAGTAAATAATGCTTTAAAATTTCTAGTGTCGTCAACATATAATTTCTTATAGAAATGACTAGCTTTAACTAAACGACAGATTCTGATGATCAGTAATCAGTTTCAATTGTTTAATGCTTAGTTATCTTAGTAATTAGACACAATATCCGGAACTTAATAAGCAAAAACTATAGTCCTCTTCAAGTAGAATGACGTTATTCATCTACTATTTTGCAGTTGCGAAGGCAGTTGCAACACCTGATTCAGCTGTGGAATTGCCGCTCACTGCAGAAAACGTGGAGTCTGTATTGGATGAAATTCGACCTTATCTCATTGCAGACGGTGGAAATGTTGCATTACACGAAATTGATGGAAATGTTGTAAAGTTGAAGCTACAAGGGGCGTGTGGCTCCTGCCCAAGTTCTGTAACCACAATGAAATTGGGGATTGAGCGCCGTCTGATGGAAAAGATCCCTGAAGTTGTTGCTGTTGAGTCAATACCAGATGAAGAAACTGGCCTTGAGCTGAACGAAGAAAACATAGAGAAGGTAGATATTTCTTTTCATTGTGTTATGTGTACCTCATTGTAATGTTCAATTCACTATGCGTTATATTTTTCTTCCAAAATATGTGTAGCTAGAAGAATATATATCAATATGGTCATTTATATAGCTATTACCCTATTATCAAACCTGTCATTAAAATTTGGAAGTTTGTCGTCTTGGAAGATTCGTCCTCTTTCTTCTGGAAAGTGATATAATATTATAGACCAAGGTAGAGTGTGCTACTACATCGCAAGAAGAATATCTTGTCAGTCTTATCTCTAAGGGTGAGTTGGTAAATTTTATAGCAATATTTTGCACAGAATGTGAAGGAAGAATACACAAAATGAGTTGCAAGAAAGACGGAACTTGGAGAAGAGAAATATGGACAACAATAAGTGGACAGCGAAAGTCGTGGATGGGGAGGTTTATTCACATGCGAAAATCTAGTGACTGATGTGGGTATAGTCTTGGGTGGTTGCTGGTGATATAAATACAGGAAAGAAGTATAGAAGTTTGGTTTAAAACATGGGAAAACTTCTCTTGAATCAGTATGATGAATGCCCTATCAAGAAATAATTGAATAGCAATCCATCAGGAGAAATAACATTGTTTACCTACAACCTGAAAAAAATTAAGGCTAATAAATCTGCCCATCATTGATAGCCTTGGTGCGTTTCATAGTCTGTATATCAACCTACTGTTTGTGCAAATATGCAGTTCTAGAACATTATATGTACACATTTAGCTGTGGTTACAATCCACTAGGGATATGAGAAGATTTCTTGCTGATGATTAATTTATCCCATTTTCATTGATCTCTTGTAATTTGTGTTATCTATCACCTTAGTATGTCAGTAAAACATCATGGGTGGGAAAATGCAGTCGTCCAAATGGTGAAAAGAATATGGATTTATGTGCTGGTATAGACGACTAATTTAATATTTTTATGCTGATTGCTACTTGGGGTCACATTAAGCCCTTGTTTGATCCCCTTTTTTTCAAGAATGCATTTTTTTAAAACTCATTTTCAACTGCACATTCTTTCATAAAATAATTATACGCGAATTTCAAAAACTTTTCCTTAGTTTTTAACTACATATTCTCCAAAAAACTAATATTCCACAATTCATTTTATCCCAAAAATGGGAATCAAACAGGGGCTAAATGTGTATACCTCCTGTACTATTTTAACTTGTTTCTTGTTAACTGAATATTAAAAAAAAAAAAAAAAAGAGCAAGTGATATAAAACGTGCTCGCTTGCTGCAATATATTTACGTCTTAGTTAGATAAATAAGTCCCTCTATACTCATAATCTGTAAGATATCTGTAATTTGTCAAATAGTGACGTCACAATGTAATTCTGATGTGATTTCTGAAAATATCCTCAAGTTCAAACTTTGGGCATCACTATCTCAGTTTCGACCACTTGTGCTTTCCTCTATTATGATGTGTTTTTCCCAATTGACTCGCCAGAAGGGTACTTATGCATTAGTAGTGGCACTCTACCAGCCAACAAACAGATGACCTGTAATCATTGTTTACAGCTCTGACTTTATGGGTCTGTGTCAATGTCAGTACAGAAGAAAATTTCCTCACATATTTTTAAAAAACTAGTTAAACAATTGTTTAAAGAAAAGTAGGGCATTTGAAGGGTATTAGAGAACGGTAAGAACTATTTATGGAGCAAGAAGTTAGATCTTATTCTACGTGGTGCTGTAATAATATTTGAATTTTAGCAGAAAATTGGGGCTCAAATTTTTGCCTATCGATGACTTGACTCACCAAGGCTACAAGTTGGTTTTTGGAATTATTCTGTCCCAAAATTCATCCTTCTGGAACTCCAGTAACCTGATTTTGGATTGTATTTGAATTTTCGGTATTTTTAAGTTGTACCATGAATCTTTGTACTGTATGCACATTGTTTTTTCTGAAAATTCGAGTTGGGGCTACTCTTGTATTGCTTCTTAATATATTAGCAATAGCAAGAAATGATGCCTAGATCTCCGGATTAACATTTTAGAATGAGATGGGAGTCCGGATTGGCATTTAGTTAAAGTGTTTTCATTTTCAAATTATTGATCTTGATCAACGTGCAGGACTAATATCTTTAATGACATTAAAAGTGCCTCCTATGTAAATTTTTGTTTATCTATTTTTTAATTTGATGTCTATGTAGAGGCTCTGAATTTGCCATATTGTTACAGGTGTTGGAAGAAATAAGACCTTATCTCGTCGGGGCAGCCGGTGGAACTTTAGAGCTCGTGGAAATTGAGGAACCGATAGTAAAAATCCGAATAACTGGCCCTGCAGCAGGCGTGATGACCGTTCGAGTGGCTGTAACTCAGAAACTGCGAGAGAAAATCCCAGCCATTGCAGCAGTTCAACTATTGCAATAGAAAAATTATCTTCAAGGTACCTCGTGCCTATTTTATTTCAATGAGGACCCATAAATAGAAGTCAGCAATAAATGGTTTTTAGCTTCTACTGAGAATTATAAATGAGACGAGCCAGTTGGTATATACTTGGTTTGACGCCTGGACTTGCTGCTACATTTTGTACAGTTTATTTGGCTGCAATGCTCTGTCCCCACGGCCTCTGTTGACTGTTGCTTAAGAAATTTGTGCTCTTGTAATTAACCATTTGAATTGAATTAAATTTATTGTGGGGAATGATTTGCGAATATGGCACTCGGTGTCGGAGTTAGCTTTACGTGCTTAGAACCTTTAAATGCGTAATGCTGAAATAAAGTTGTTATTTTTAAAACTAAGATAAAGGGATATTACTTTCAACGTGATGCTGAAATGAGTGCCCAGTTTCTTGTATAATGTAACTACAAGTTTTACCACACAGGAAGTAAATTAATTGCACAACTCGAAAATTATTATATATATCCGCAAAAACTTGAGGTATCAAGAAAAACTCGAAGTAAACAATTTCACAAAGCTTTGCTGTATTCCCGCTTGCTTGGAGACGAAGGTAAACTGGATATGCCTAAAGCTCCAAGTTCGAAAGAAGTTGGCACCAACTCGGAGTTCCTTCGTTGAAGATGTGGGTCAAAGGAGAAATCAGAACCCCATCCCCAAGTTCGAAAGAAGTTGACGCCATCTTGGAGTTTCTTCGTCGAAGATGTGGGTCAAAGGAGAAATCAGAACCCCACTACCTCCAATCTGTACCAGACAAAACACGACCCACAAATTTAACGAAGCTATTAGGCACAGCAGTACACAACACAGCAGACAAGATTTTAGTTTCACTTTCTTCCTTAATAGTGTCGACTGTGGAGTACTATACAATCCACACCTCATCAAATGAACCATTAGCACGGGGTAGGGGGAGAGAGAACCCAGAATCAAAAGGGGAGCCAAAAAAATATATTAAAAAAAAAATTAAAGGTTTTAATTGTGAAAAAACATGAAAAATGAAAGGGTAAAATGTTGTGTTGGAGACAATTGTGAATAACATTCAAGCATACAAACATAAGTGCATAAAGGCAACATCTGAGAGTAAGTGACTCACCGCCCTAAGCTGCTGAACAGACTTGTAAAGTTCTTTCTTTGGAGCACAAATAACTATGGCATAATAATCTGCTGACACCTTCCCATCACGTTTACAAAAAACTGGGCTGATAGTTGGTCCCTGCACGTATAAGCATGAAATCATACGAGAAATCTATGATACAGATAAAAGATATTATTAACAAAAGTAATCTTGTGGCATGGATAAGTGGAGTGTTATACAAATACGATTTGCATGCATCTCTCCATTAACAAGACAAGTGCTTGGGGGAATATGTAAGTGCAAATACAATTTGCACGCCTCCCTCTCCCTCTCTCTCCCTCCCTCCCCCCTAGCTTCCCCTCAGTTTTTACTATTTCATTTCTGTTGGAGTGGGCATCTTACTTTTTGTTATTTCAAAATAATATATATGCAGGAGAAGTCAATATCACCTGCAACCCAGATAAAGATGTTTGGCTTAGTATTCGCTCAGCCACTTCCTCTGCACAGCTTCCCCTCATGTTGGCTGTTACCTGCCAGGAGGATTGTAAGGTTACCAAAATAATGAGAAACAGTAATTTTAAAAATAAACAAAAAATAAAAATAAAAAAAGAAAGGAAAGAAACCATGAATTGACCAGCAGCCCTCAAATGTGCCTCCAGTCTTTCAAGCATTTCATGAGTTATATCAAGCACGCCTTTTCGCTGGGTCAATGATTTTCTACTAGCAACAAGGACAGCCTGAAATAATAAAACAAGGTCAAACAAAAATCCAGAAATATTAACTCTGTATTAATGTCCAAAGTCTCTACTCATATCAGTATCTTAAATTCTGCTAAGTTTGCAGCATTGTAAACTTTACAACAAAAAAAAAAAAAAGGGACTACCTGACTTTCCACGATAAGTCCACCTTCAATTTCTTTCAAATTATTTTCTCTCAATGTGGTTCCACTGCTCACAAGGTCCACAATAGCATCGGCTATTCCCATCTGTTAAGAGGAAAAACAAGAGTCAGGAATAGATATAGAATTTGCGCTCCTTGTTTAATTCAATTATTCAATCATTCCAACCAATAAGGCAGCCACGAGAGAAAACAGATAAAGCAAATTCAATTGTAATCCTCTTTTAGCAGTATCCTTAGAGATCTTCAACATTAAAGCAACCTTCATTTTGCTCATTCATGGAGTTGTCACATTACCACTGGTCCTTCACTAACTCCAAGGTAACTCATTAATGTACATTTTCCAGATTCTTGTTTATCACTTACACGTGAATTTTGTTTTGTTTCATTCAAATTGCACTTGTCTGAGTTTCTCGTCTCCTGCTGAGATTCATTTTAAATTATGCATAACTGTCAACAATAATACACAACTATGTTATTACATTAGCAGTCATTCTCCAAAAAAGATGTTATCAGGATGGATCTTTCTCGGAGTCTTACAAAATGAAATTAACAAAATAAGATAGGGCAACCTATTAATCATCCAAAGCCAAAACTCCAGGACGAGTTTTCTCCAACACGAAGAAAAATGACTCGGTCAGATATTTTACATTATTTGTTTCCTAAATATTTCAGATCTATGTTGTTTTGCTTCCTTTTATTTAGTTTCGTAGTTTGTAAATATGGTGCTGGGTTATACTTATGGCTGTTAAAGCCCTAAAAGGACGATTTTTCATGAGATGAATGCTAGGGAAATACGGACGATCATAATAAAATGGATAGGAAATGAAAAGATATATCAACAATTGAAAGTGGCACCCGTTGAGGAAAAATTAAGGGAAGAATGATGTGCGTGGTTGGGACAATTTGCTTAGGCCTAAAAATGCTCATGTTCATAAGAGTGACACGAGTACTTAGGATTTGAAGCCAAATCTGGCCCCTATTCCAGGTTTTATTTGGTATTTCCTCAAACTCTAGCTACGAATATGGATCTCGAGCTTCAGTCTTACTGATGCAGGAAGAAATCAATAAAAAAAAGAAAATGGATGGATTTTCGGAATTTTTATTGATTTCCATTTTGGAATGATTTTCTTTCCTCCTTTTTTCAATCAGCATCCACATGATACATTTGCAGATAATTGCTTGGGTTGCAAGTTTAGCACTATAGGTCTGATCTTGTACCAACCTTTGGTGTTAACCATGTATTAGCCCCATTTTTAAAAAACTAGTGAAATTTTAAGCTGTTCCTATTAGAATTTGTACTTCTCCCTGTATCAGATTTACAGATATATAGCAGTAGAATAGGCTGCACGGAGAACAGGAAAAGAACAACCAAAAAATCAATGCAGAGGCAGGAGTAGCACATCATATACTCGGAACGTATAGCATATCCATGTCAGGAGAGTTTAGTTCTTACTGCAGGAGCTGCTTCCAGGGCTCCATCAGCTGTTGAAAAAGTGACATGCTTCAATCCATTATCTTTCATAAACTTTGGAGCCAACTGCAAATAAACATGACCTATTAAATATAACCTCTTCCATAAAATGAAAATATTCAAGCAAAAGGAAACAGGACAAAGATTCAGAAAACTCTGTATACACCATACATATGTGAAGCCAGTAGCAATTCTCAGAGGTCTTCCAGGAGTCCATTGTGGCATCTGTGCTAGCTCTTCCAAAGAGTTTATGTTCTCAAAAATGCCATACTTGGGTATCTAAAGAAGAGAAGTACATTTCCTTCCATAGGTAAGGGGGGAAAAGTGTATAATGATTATATTTTGTGAAAAAAATCTTACTGCTAAAGATAAATGACAATCTCCGTACTCAAGAGCATCATGGGCAAGGATAAGATCTTCATTCCCCTGCAAAAGGACTAAATGATGAGAAACTGATAAACAGATTACATGATTTAAACATTATATGGACATAAAAGAAGATACACAGTAGTTTGTACAGAAAAATACTGACACCTGTAACCATGCAACGGAGCATGAATGATTGGCACAGAATGCACAAAAAAATGACACAAGTAGCATGTGTCCTGTTATGAACATGGTAGATTAGAAAAACTCTCAAATCATAAACATGGTGAGATAGTCATGATGAAAAAGGTATTTTATTTTGTTGGCTCAACATAAGAGACAAACATCAAAGTGAGAGTTGCATCGGAAATAAGAAGCATATGACCTTCATATCATCAGTCCCACCATATTAAAGAAACATTTACATGATAAAGAAACTTCTCTCATGCTAATTATAATTAATAACTGATGATCATCATCATGCATAGGCAAATTACACCCTCAAATCTTACCTGCCCATATTCTGAAACTGTATCAAGACCGACAATACCAAGGTCTAAATCTCCAGAAACCAATTTTCTCACAATGTCTTTTGGCCGTTGAAACCAAACTTCTAAATTTGGAAGCTGCAACATCATAAAAGGGATTATAAGAAACATAAATGTCTAGAGTACATACAAAAATTGATTAAATTCATGTCAGAAGATGAACGCATGGGTATCCAAAGGATATTATGTTGTACAATGGGATTAATCACTTTCATGCAGCATAAATGTGGTTATATTGGAGTTCAGAATATATTCATAAAGACAAGGGGAAGAATTTGTCGGGGTGCTGTGAACAATATGGTATAAAACTGTTGCTTACAATACAGAAATCGGATAAGCTAACGTATTATAGAGAAATGCCTTGAAGTTCCAATATGTCGAGTAAATCAGATGAGATATTTTCCATAAGTCATTTCTCAAAGAGAACATATTTTACATAAGTCATTTGAAGTCCCATGGATGCAGCCACATCCATTTAATGCTACTAGTTCCAAACCAGTGTGTGGGAGTCTAACGATGGCGAGATATTGCTCAGTAGCAACAATGGTGGTAGTCTGGTGACGACAGCTGTTCAATGGCTTATAATGGCATGGGCTTAGTCATTGTGGAGGTGAGAGTGTGACAAGGGTAGTTCAACAAGCTCATAGACGAAGTACTCTAGTCATGGTGGAGGTAGAGAAGGTGGCAATGGTGGCTTTTGAGGAGGTGGTTCAATTAATTTACGCTTTATTCAGTTTCATTATTTATTTTCTTTCTCCCACCTTAAGAAGAAAAGGCTCGAGTTGGTGTATTGAGTGGAGAATGTGGACATGTTGATTACATGTTGACGGTGGTCTGAAATGGGTAAGAACAGAGAGGTGGCAGTGGGTAACGTGCAACAGAATGAGTTGGATACACTATAAAAATTTGGTAACTACATCAAAATTGAAAGGATAGCCGAAATCAGGAGAATAGATTATCCCATTTGACACTACCCTTTTTATAACATTCGCCTTTTTGTGCAGATAGTGATGTATTAACATTACTGCTCATGATTACAGTGTGTGTGGAGGGCAGTTTAGTTGTAGGAACTTCGCACGAGTTCTCAAATTGATATGGTTTGCATGCACAACATGTAATGTAGAATATGCATTGATGATAACATCATGTGGCATTCTTCTTTTTCTTCCAGGAGAATAATACTTTCAAGAGAAGACAAAACTATATGTTGCGCCATTTTGTGAAGTTCGTTTACAATGTACATTGATCACACTAAAATAATTGAACAATAAAAGACAAGTTCAATTTGCTTGAAAAATATTGCAGAAAACAACCATACTATGCCAAGGAAACAAATTGAAATGTATAATTGAGGAGAAAGAACAGGTTATCCATATTCATTGTCATAAGATGAGAAACAACGAAATGATTAAACTGAACTGGTTGTACAGGTTTGGCGACTAGGCAGATGGCAAACCATGATGCCAGAAAGGACATTATTTACTATCATCCTCTCTATAACATTGGAAACTTTCAGAAAAATAATAAGCCCAGAAATGAAAGGAAAGATAGATCATCCATCCAAGAGGCTGGGAGAAGGAAAACTTCAGGGGAAAAGGGCAAGCGTGGGAGAATTTGTGAAAATTTCTGGGACTCCTCAACCGTCACTCCCCATCGGCTTCCACTGTCTACGACATCATGACAGTGGATTAACATCAAAATGGCTACCAAAGAATCCATAATTTCACTTATAAGCCAACATCAGTGTTGAAGAAAGAACATCTAAAATACAATCTACTTAGTTTTTTGCACAGCCCAATACCAATAGTTTGTTTTACCAGCTAAACATCGAAAAAACTTGCTTCTGTGATGAAGTGTACGCACCAGAGGAATTTCAGCTACATATTGTCGTGGATTCACCTGCCTCACTGATAATTGGCAATCCTTAACAGACCCACCAAAAAAAACAAACAATTAGTGTTGGTAAAATCCCACATTGTTCAAGTACGAAAAGAGTAATCAAAGTAAGAGTTGAGCTTCTCTTAACAGGTTAATATGGACCCCAAGGCTCAATACTCTATCAGGATTTAAAAGCTCAATCGAGCAATTCAATTGAATTCCAAGATTAGTCTTTTCAAACAAGCTGACTTATAAGATGGAATCCAAACAAGTAGGTTCCAAGATTGGCTAAATCAAACAAGTGGTATAGGGAATTGGAATCTAAGATTCTATAATAAATTACATGTAACCTGCCCCCTACCAATCCGTAAATTCCAAAATTGACATCGTACACAAGCACATATAGATATACAAACACAATTACCTTGAGAAGTTCGAGAGTATCCGTTGCCATTCGGCCTTTACTCGGCAACCCGAGCCGAACTTCGTTTCTCTCGGATGGCCTGTTATCTACATTTCCGTTGACTAGAGTAATTGGCGACGCAACGGAACAACAAGAAACCATAAATTTTACAGAAACGCGATTAATTGCAGAAGAAGGTGATGCCGAGAAAGATGAAATTGAAGCCAAAGGGCATTGCAGGAAATTCGTCTGTAACACGGCCATTTCTCGATTTTGAAGTGTGTTTTTATTTTTGAGTATTTTTGTGTGTGAGAGAGAGAAGGGAAGAGAAATCTGATTGGGGAGGCGCCGCCGTGGATGAGGGAGCGAGATTCAGCTAAAAGAAAATGAATTAAGCTCGTGCAATTTTTACACAAGTCATCTGACATAGCGACCCCAATTTTCAAAAAATTCATGTTTTTCAAAATTGATTTTTAATTTGTACTTTTTATTAAAATAATATTATGCGTAAATTTGAAATTTTCCTTTAATTTTTAATTAAATATTTTTCATCAATCTACTATTCTAAACCACATTCTTCCCCCTTTAATATTTTATGATATTTCATTATTAAACTATTTTAATCATAATCAATTTTTTCATCAAATCATTTGTAGCCACCTCGAATTATATCCATTAAATTTCTTCTGACAAATTGGCAAAATCAAATTTTTTTTTTTAACAAATGATGAGGCTGAATTGATTGATTTGAAATTATTTGTTTATTTAACATCCAATGAAATTATGTACTTGACAATCTATCAAATTGTTAAGCAAAAATTTCTATACATGATTATTAAAAAAAAGTAATAATAATAATGTGTATATAAAATTCATAATTTTTTATTTTCATTAATTTTTATTGTAATTTACTAAAATTTTGATTTAAATCTAAGGCCCGTTTGGTACCCATTTTTTCAAAATACATTTTTCTCTCTCTTCTTTTTAACTCCACATTCTTCATTAAAATAATATTAAACGTAAATAAAAAAATATTCTTTATTTTTCAACCCCACATTTTCTATTAATTTACTATTTCAAAAAATATTTTTACAAAAAAATGGCTCTCAAACGACATCTAAATCAAAACTAATTTTTTTTATCAAGATTATTAATCATCACTACCAATTTAACAGGTGGGCCACAATCACATTCTCCCCTATTCGATGTAGAGCATCTTAAGATGACAAATACTTGAATCTCAGGGTACCGTTTTCACGGACCTTTTACAAGTACTCACAAGCAAGTGGGCCACATATCATTAAAAAATGCCCCAAATATCCCCATCACCACCTGTTTGTGAGTACTTGTAAAAGGTCTGTAAAAAAAATGTCCTGATATTCTAGCGTTTCTCTCTTAAGATACTTTGTAAATTCAAATACTTTCTATATTTTAGGTAGACAACACTTAAAAATAAGGTTAAAGGGACTTTTTAGTCAAATTTTTAAATATAGGAGAGTCAAATTCATTCTCTATTTTTACTTCATAATAAATATATTTAATAAATTACATACTTTATTTCTTAAATTATTAAAATTTTAGTTCAATAAATTGACCATTTACATAATAAAAAAATATGTCAAATAAAAAATGTGAAGAAATCAATAAACATTTCTTTAAAGAAACAAAATGAATAGCCAAAATATATATTGTTTCTTAAAGATTCTCAACATCCCCAAGAGGCTATTTAAATATAAGATTATCTATATTTTAAAGAGTCAACCCTTAATATTATGCTTCAAGATATTATTTATATAATATTTTAAAATAGAGAGCGAGTTGGACTCTTCGAATTTGAAGAGAGAAATTTATTCTCTATAATTAAATGCATTCAAAGTATTTTAGTTTTCATTATAAAATAATATAATAATTTGGAGGGAAATTAATGAAAATAAACTATAGGAATAATAATAAATACTTTTTGGGAGTTATAAAATTAAGTGTTGAATATAAAAAAAAATATGTTAGAACACTTCAAAAATTTTACTCTCTAAATTTATGTATATCTCTAAATTGTAAATATATACTCTTTAATAGTAGAAAGACTTTTGAAGATACTCTAACAATATTATAATACGTGTAGATATCACTGTCTTATTAGATATCACTGTCTTATTATTTAATATTTAAAATACATAAACCAATAATCATCTAAACTCTAAATGAATGACACTGCTCATATTCATTAGGTTGCAATCACTTTTTATAGATGAAAGATGGAAGATTAGAGATTCTGCTTCTCTTTTGCTTTTTCATTTTTGTCAAAAATGTTACGCATTGTACTTTTTCAATTTTTTATGTTTTATAGTAATTGTGGATGAGTCTTATAAAATGTGTGAATACAGTCTCAACCCCTGTTGGAACCCCAATCGCACCGCATAATTATGGAACTAAATGAACACAATATTTTTCACATTTATAAAGGGTCTCAATTTCTCTTGCTTTTAACGCTATTGTTGAACTCGAAAACTAGAAATAAAATCAAGGTTTTACAACAAGATTATTACAACCAGAAATCACCAAGACTTCTCCAAATCACTACAAATATCACTCTAACAGCAAAGTAAATGTTCACAAAGCGCAAATGAGAGAGCTTAAAAAGCTGAGCTTCTATTTTTTTATTATTTGGTTTTGTTATGAAGGAATGAAGGGAGCCTTTAACAAACCCTCCATCCAAGCAAAGAACCTCCAAGTGGAAGGCAGTTGTGCTATAGAGACAAAGTTATGTTGCGTTTTGTCGCTCATTCGGGGTCCTGTCCGCATGTTATAAAGGGAGGTCTACAGAGAGGAGAACCGCATTCGAATTTACTTGGGTGGCGAATTAGGAGGGACGGCCACTACTCCTCAAGATTAGTCAGGCAAAATTTGGACACCTGAGTTATCAGAAAAAAATAAGAACCTTCAAGCGTGAGGCTCATATTAATTCTCATCAAATTATATCGAAGTTGATTTTCAAGTAGTAGTCATGAGTCATTTTAAAGCACATCATTTTCTTCAATGGAGTATATAAAATGGTAGAAACTAATTTGATTCCTATGAAATATATGGATGAAAGTATATTCAATCAACCTAAATTATAATTTAAAATTTTCTAAACATGCACTAAGTGCAAATTCAGGATGTTATCAACTGAGATATTAATTAATTTTAAAAGATCATTGAAATTTTAATGGATTCTATAAAATTCACTAAAATCTAGATGTTCCAATAACTCGTAGATTTATTATGCTTTTATTGATGAAGAATTTAAAAATATTTGGATGGATTTCATTTAAAAAATACGCATATCAGACTCTTTGAAAATTTTACCATTTTAAACTTCTTATGAATTCCATGAAAATCTATTGAAATTCATTAAAATTTATAATCCTTCGAATTTGTATTTAAAAACACCCACTTCATTAAAATAACTTGATTGTTTTATATCAAATTCATTCATGATTTCATTGTTGAAATTTCAATTTTATTTTATTAATCGCTCAACATCGAATCACATATTATCACACTGGTTATAGAGAGAATTATGGTCGGACTCTCCAATATTATATATATATATATATGAATTTGAATAGTTAATTGTTCCAATGGTCACTAAATTTATGAATATATTTTCGATTGCTCACTGAAATTTAAAACGTTGAGTTTTGACCACTAAACTTTGTCGACCTATGGTTGATTATGACCTTGAAGTTTTGATTGTAACAAACAAGCTAATCTTGTTTGCTAATAAATTGAATTCAAATAATTATAGTTTTTCAAAACACTTGATGAAAAAATTGATATGGTCATCAAAAGATCAAAAGCTACCATCACAAATTGGACTCAAGAAACAGGTCAAGATTGAAGCCACACATTCAAGAATTTAAGAACCAAATTTTGGAGGAAGATCAAAGATTCAATTTCTTAGATAGAATGTAAAGGTACTAATACTTTAATATTTGGAAATCAATGTTGAAACTCAAAATCCTTCTATGCATTAAAAACAATTTTTGTGTTTTAAAGGTCATTCTAGTGTAACATTATAATCAAATATGAAGGTGACTTTTAAAACGATATCTTGACTTGAAAAATATTTTTTTATTTTAAAAATTAGTTAAAAATATATTTCAAAAGTCCATGCCTTTCAAAACCTTCAAATCAGGTGAAACGAGGACAAAAGGTGAAAATCTCGAAACGATCGGCGGTCAACCAGCCCAAGGTGGCAGTTGACCGAAAAAATCCAACGGTCCAAAATATGATCGTTTTGACTTCTAATTTTTACTGTACAAACAGTTATATTGATTATCCAAACAAGAGGCGATCAACCCCAATGAGTCATCCGTAACTACAGATTTTTTTTACGTTTTGAACTTTATAAATACCTAGAGATGTCAACGAGCCGAGCCGTCTAGGATAAAATGTCCGAGCTTTTTTTGAACCCGAGTCGAGCCGAACAAAAGCTCGAACAAAAAAATTAAGCAGCCTTTCCAAGTTGGACAGGCTCTTTTTTTTTTATAAATAATATATAGGCACCAGCGTGTTGCCTTATTTCAAAAAATAAGGCAGCAACCAATTTTTTTTTTTTAAAATATTTATATAAAGGCCCACGAGCCACCCGGGCCAGCTTGGGCTTGGCTCGGGAATCCAAATCGGGGCTCGGCTCAAGCCAATAGTTAAGTTTAATTTTAATATATTTTTGTAAAATTTTAATAGATTTTCATCATTTGAAAAATAAAAATTTATTGTGTGTTTCGTTGTTGAAATTAAATTAATATTTAAATTTGCAACGAAACAGCCATCAAATTTGATTAAATGGATTTTACAACAAAACGCGTAATAAATTTGCTTAAATATGAATTTTACAACAAAACACACAATAAATTTAATTAAAATTTAAATTTTCGTAATGAAACACACAACCCATTTAATTAAATTTATTGTGTACTTCGTTGTAAAATCCAAACATTAATTTAATTTAATTTTAACAATGAAATAGACAATAAATTTTAATTTTTCAAATATCTTAAAATTCGACAAAAAGATATTAAAATTAAATTAAACTATTGTGTAATTAAGTAATCATTTTTCGTTAAAATGATAACTCAAACTTGTTTGTCTATTTTATTCCTTTTACTTGAGCTGAGATATTGTGGTACACATTTTTAACAAAATAAAAGGTAGACGTCATTTTTTTGAGTTTATTGGCTATATTCAACAACCTCAAAATTCAGTGAGCAATCGATTTTTTTTTTTTTCAAAAATTGAGTGAGTAATCGAAAACGTTTTTCAAAGTTTGGTAAGCAATCAAAGACGTGATAATTTTTTAACGATGTGACGGGATGCTATATACACATTTTGTTAGCCACCTCACTAATTTCCTTAAAAATTTGGAACGATGTTAAGTAACGTCCAACATTTTGATAAGTTTAATGGCAAAAAACTTGATATCTTTAATTTCAACGAGTACAATCTAAAACATAAACGCAAGTTCAGTCACCATTTGTACAATTAACTCGAGTTTGATATAAACCAAATTTAAAAAAGCAAATTAAAATTTGAAGTGTAGCCTTCAATTTGATTTATTTATTGGATAAATATTGAACAATTCAGTTGGTTGTTTAACGGATAATCCAATCCATTTGGTTATACAGGGAAGGTAGCGGATTCTTCGATCAACCCTGAGCAGAAGATAAGTCTTTAATTTGTTAAAATACTGCGAGCGATCACTCATTTACTTCTCAATTTCACGCTGTTTACCCTCTCCGATTTTACACCCCAATTCGTTTCCCAGTTTTGTGCCATTTTTTGTTTCTCCGCCGACATTTTCAGGTCAAAATCCCACAGAAAACCCATCTCATTAAATTCCAGTTTTTCATTTGTTACTTTGAGATCCTTGGACGACCACCCAGTAAAATATACTGGGTTAGAAGTTTAACTTCAGATAGGAAAAGAGAAAAGAGGAGCGCATTTGCTTAACCAGCTCTTATGATGAGATTGTGAAAGTTTGTATTTTGTCTCTTGAGATTGTGATAGTTTGTATTTTGTCTCTCTTTTTTTTTTTTTTTTTTTTTTTTTTTCGTCAGTTTTTGTAAATTTTTATCACTCTTTTTTTAGTATTTGTCATTTTTTTTCAATCATCCTTTTGAAATTTCTATCACTTTTTTTTTTTTTTTTTACAAACAAATTTATTTT